CGGGAGTGCCACCGCACTCCCAAGCAGCGCACTGTAGCAGTGCGCCACCGGGCCGGCCCTAAAGGCAACTTTAAAATCAAGTGGAAATAGAATGCTATCACTTTCTGTTCCATTATTTTTGCCTTTCCTTTGTTACATTTTACAATGAAATCAATGTGTTTTCAGTGAGTCAAATTATTTTACCAAAAGCCTAAAACCCCTGGATTAACACCTGAATTTGCTTTTAAATTATACATTCATTATTGCTGATTCTTGGAAACTACATCAAACAATCAGACAAAGCTCTCCTTCAAAAATCATAGTCTAGAACCATCTCTGAACTCCTACCCAAGCTGTACTCATTTACTTATCAAGTGACTTCTAAAAATAATAAATGCAGCAACTCCCACAATACACACTGACAACAGGGAGTCATGTTTATAAAGTATCTAAACCAACACTGTTAGCTCCTCTCATTCTGATTCAGACTGCAGACTGTAGGCACGCTGTTACCCGCTAGGTGTACATGATGGAGCAGAACCTAACCCTAGTTATGGAAAATGTTAACGATGAAGCTCACTCATAGAGTTATCATAGGTAAAACAGGTAACTTGGAGTTGACTGCTTCCTTTAAGAGTTGGTGATAAAGTTCATACTTCCTGTTATTCTGCTATACTACTTTCTCCCTTTGAAGCCTAAAAGTTGAACAGGACTGTCTAGGTAGAAAGGGGGAAGGTAAAGGGATTACAGATATAGGAAACAGTACCACTTTCATTCACCAAACATATGCTGTGTGTTCAGAGCTGATCATGTACCAGCTTTCTTCTGGGCCTCGAAATGAAAAATATGTGAAACAGCAGGGGACAGAGTTAAACCAAAATGAAACAGAGATTAGGGTCCAAAAAGTTGCTGAAAACAACTGCTATCCTCACTTAGGTTGTGAAGAGTCTTAAACCCTAGGCTAAGGAGGTTAGACATCCTATAAGCAGAGGGGAGTCGAAGAGGCTTCTAACCAATGGGGTGACAGTACTTGTTCTTTGTTTTGAAAACTTTGGCAACAGTATGCAAGATGGGCCAGAGGGAGGAAAAATAAATAAATAAAATGGAAAGAGGGTCAATTATTGAGAAAGCTCCTCCAATTAGCTAGGATAGAGATGATAAGGAGCATACACTGAGGCAGTGCCCATAGCAATACAGAAGAGATACAGAGATATTCCAAATAGCATAGCAAGGATTTGATGGTACCCAAGGATTTGATGGTACCCAATTGGCTGTAGAAAGTAAGGGAAAGGGGGAGTCGTGGACAAAGGGGAAGAGAGGTGCAACAGGAGTGAGAAAGTAAGTTTAGTTTTGCACATAGTATTAAGTTTATTATATAAACCTATATAAAATTTCAAGGAACACTGGTTATCTAGTAGACAGTTAAAAATAGCAGTGTACATATTTATATATATACTTACATAAATTTACACGTTTATAGTGATATTATTTAGAGATATAAGTCCCTCAAAAGAAATACGGAAAATGCTAACTATAATAATTTCTGTATATTATTTATTACAGAAAATCTAGAGTGTAAAAAATATGTATTACTTTAAATTTTTTAGATACATTAAGCATATATATTGTAACGACCATGCATAAAGACATTTAATATACCGATTAGAATCAGTGGTTATGGGCCGGCCCGGTGGCGCACTGCTACAGTGCGCCGCTTGGGAGCGCGGCGACGCTCCTGCCCAGGGACAGACCGGCCGCTCACTGGCTGAGCGAGGGGCGGGAGCAACACCGAGGGTTGCGATCCCGTTGCCTGTCCCGGTCCGGTGCGGGCGGGACACTGAGGGTTGCGATCCGTTGCCGGTCACGAAAAAAGACAAAAAGGAAAAAAAAAAAAAAAGAATCAGTGGTTATTAGTGCTAAAAGAAACATGAGCCATCAACTAGTCCAACTACTTTATTTTACACG